GGGGAGCAAACATATTAAGAACAGTATGCCATATACGCCAGGTCCCTTGAAACATATGCTGTGCAGATGTTTCTTCCCTGCAGTGACTGTGTCAGGCAGCAAGCATGTCTGTGCCTGTTGTCTCTGTAGCATCGAGAAGTAGCTTAGTGTTGCCACAGAAATTCTATGAACCAGAGAGAGAATGGGCAGCAGGGCCACCGTGTCCCTGAACTTTGCCTCTCTCTCTCCCAGAGCTTCTAGAAATACGGTCGAGTCACAGAGAAGCTCTTTTTTGGGGAAGGACTCACTGTTGGCCCATTAGGTCTGTGTCTCCCACCTGTACCTTGTCTGTCCCCCTCCCTATGTTCCCTATGTGCCTCAGAGCAAAAAGTGAATTATATTGTGAATGTGAAATTTGTAAAACTTGAGTCTTTCTAATGTGCTATAATGTGTATTTTAGTGTACATTGCTCTATTCTCAATAAAATAATTTTGGGTGTGTGGACTGTGCTTCTCGGATTTGTGCTTAGGCCACAGTGAGTAACCTTTAAAATGGGGATCCACGTGGATTAGGTGAAGAGTGTGTGGAGATCACCTGCCACTCCCCTGTGCCTAACAGCCGAGGAAGTGCAGACCCTAAGGTGGTGAATAGCCAGTTGAAAACTTCTGACTTCTAGTCTAGTGCTTCTTCCACTGAGCTGGCTGTCAAGTTCCCTCTCTGTGATTATGAATCTGTGCTGTGTGTTTTTAACTTGGGGCTCCATCTGTTCCTTGGTGATTCAGGAGGAGGTGAAGCTGCCACTCAAGACCTGAGAGCGGGACTCCCACTTGCAGTGTGTCGTGGGTACTGTATTCCTACCAGGTGAGCTGGGTAGGAGCTCTCAGTGCACACATAATTACCCTGATGTCATCCAGAGCCCAGGAAATAGGTTTCAAATAATTTCACAGGCGCAGCCGAAATGGCTCAGTGGTTGAGCATCGACCTATGAACCAGGAGGTCACGGTTCAATTTTCAGTCAGGGTGCATGTGGGCTCGATCCCCAGGGGGGGGCGTGCAGGAGGCAGCCAATCAATGATTCTCCTTCATCATTGATGTTTCTATCTCTCCCTTTCCCTTCCTCTCTGAAATCAATAAAAAATATTTTTTAAAAAACAAGTAATTTCACAGAAGGTTGTACATAGGGTCATTTACTGAGCCTAAGAGAAATTTTGAAAGACAAATAGAAGGCAGAGGAGAAGGAGAAGGGAACTAAGATTTGTGAACTCCTGCTATGTGAGATGCAGTACTGAATCTTTGTGAGCTCATGATCTCACTCGCCTTTATTGCAGTTCTCCAGGATGGGCATTGTTATTTCTACATTGCAGATGAGGCTCAGCTAAGAACCATACAGAGGAATTGGGGAAACTCTACCTTCTTGGAGATTAGGTTCTGAGAAAAGAATATTAATACGTTTTGAATCCACTATTTTACCAATTTCCTTGATTTTGAGACACTTTTTGGGTAAAACCTGTTCACTGTCCTAAAAAAACCGGTTCTTGAGTTACATGCTTTGGGAAATGCTTGACTAGGTGGGTCCCAAGTGCCTTTGCAGCTCCGGGGTCAATGAGACCTTGGTTCTAGTATGGGCAGGACCTCATGCTGCTTTGTGAGCTCAGTTCTGGGGAGAAGGACTTCCAACAAGCCCTAAGCAATGCCCAGATGCTGGGGCCCTGCTTGACTGCCCATGGCAGGTTGCCAAGGCAAACAAAACAGCAGTCTCAGCCAGCCCAGGCCTCGGGGTCCTCAGGTAGCACAGGTAGAAAGCGAAACCCTCAGTGCTTCAGACTAGCTGTGACCTCTGAGCTGCTGCAAGCTATAGGTATAGGCTCTAGGGCAGCCGTGGGCAAACTACGGCCCGCGGGCTGGATCCGGCCCCTTTGAAATGAATAAAACTAAAAAAAAAAAGACCGTACCCTTTTATGTAATGATGTTTACTTTGAATTTATATTAGTTCACACAAACACTCCATCCATGCTTTTGTTCCGGCCCTCCGGTCCAGTTTAAGAACCCATTGTGGCCCTCGAGTCAAAAAGTTTGCCCACCCCTGCTCTAGGATAATGGGAGAAGGGCCAGTGTGTGCAAGGGGGAAAATCGGGAACACTAGGTCTTGAGCATCATGTCTGTCTTAGAGCGTCGCTTAAAGATGGTAGAAGATGCTTCTACTTCTGTGGGATTAGGCTGTCAGCACCTTGCTTTGGCATCTTTGTGGACCTGTCTCCCCAACCCCCTGCCCCACCATTCTCTCTCATTTTAAGGAGGGGTGAGGGAAGGAACCAATGCTGGATGCATTTGGAAAAACCAAACCAAACCACAGTGGTGTTTAACGTGAGAAAGCCCTGGGGTTCAGTCTTCTTTCCGAGGTTTTGTAGCCTCTCTTGCTGAGAACAAGCTATCTGCTGTTTTATGGAGGCAAAGTGCTTGATGGTAACAGAATCCTATCCAGGATACAACATTACATGTAGCCATGGTGTCTTCTCAGGCTCCTCTAGACCCAACCGGACCTGTTCACAGTGTCCCCAGGCCCAGGCTCCTTGCTTAGGTTTAAAATGGAGAATATAGAACCTTACACCCTCCATCTATGTGGAGGAAGAAGTATAAATAGGCAACAGCTCTCTTCAAATAATTTTTTCCATACATTTCTCTCCTCCAAGTCCAAGCCCTTTCTATATCCTTCATTTAGCTGAGGATTCAAGAAAAGAAGGTATGGTTTGGGGTCCATTTTACATTCTCTGTGGTGTTCACCTTCTATCTAGCCAACTAGAGGCCCGGTGCACAAAAATTTGTGCACTCGGGGGAGAGGGGATCCCTCAGCCCATCCTGTGCCCTCTCGCAGTCTGGGATCCCTCAGGAGATAATGACCTGCTGGCTTAGGCCTGCTCCCAAGTGGCAGAGGGCAGGCCCAATCCCTAGGTGCAGCCCCTGGT